GTCAATCAAGGAAAGCTTTTGAAAACAACAAAGGTGAAGGCTGAGTATAGAAAAGAAACAACTGAAAACCAATTTGTTAATTGGAAGAACAAGCCAATGCATGGTCAACACTTGAAGGATACAGAAGGGAAAGCCGATAGAAACCCCACATGGAACTGGTTAAGATTAGGAGTGTTAAAGAAACTGAATGCTTTATTTTAGTGGCTCAAGAACAAGCTTTGCTGACTAATTGTATGAAAGCGAAAATTCACCATGTAACAAACAACAGTAAATGTTGCCTTTGTAGTAAAAAGGATTAAACAATTGACCATCTGATCAGTTGCTGCAGCAAAATTTCATAAACTGACTATCAGCAGCATCATGACCGAGTTGCCAAAATTATTCATTGAAACTTTGCCAGAGGTTTAGATTTGAATGTAGCAAGAACCATTGGGACCATCAAGTTGAGATGGTTTTGGAAAATGAGTGGCTTAAGATCTTATGGGCAGGCACCTTTTTTCATATAATATGCCTGATATAACAGTCATTAAAAAGAAGAAAGTCTGGTTCACTGATGTTGCTATACTGGGTGATGCTAGGATGAAATACCAGGACTTGCACATTAAAGTTGAACGCTTATGGAAAAAGAAATCCACTATTATATCAATCGTGATTAGAGCCCTTGGAGCAATATCTAAAGGACTCCCTTGATATTTGGAAATTTTGAATTTATCATACCTGAACACCCTAATTTTACAAAAAAAATACCCTGCCTGGAACTGCCTATATCCTCAGACATTACCTTATGTCCTTGGTTAGGACTTGAATTAATACGTTTTCACCAGTCTTTGACTGTGAATCTAATTGTAGATTACCCATAATAATAATCTGCCAAAACTAACACTGTACTATGAGGCCATGATTCCACTCTAGCTATAATAAACATGTATTTGGAAATGATATACCAATGTAATGCAAATGGATGCTAACTGCACTCAAGTTATCTACCTGGTGGTTACATCACATGTTGGTGGACTAACAGAGTACAATAAAGTACAGGTAATCCTCAACTTACAACCACAATTGGGACTGGAACTTCCATCGCTAAGTGATGTCATTAAGTGAGTCATACCCAATTTTATGACCATTTTTGCTGTGATTGTTAAGTGAATCCAGCTTCTCCCATTGACTTTGCTTGCTGGAAGCCCCCTGCAAAGGTTGCGATGACATGACCCCGGGACACTGCAACTTTCGTAAATACATGCCAGTTGCCAAGCGCTTGAATTTTGATCATGTGAATGCAGGGACACTGCAATGGTCATAAGTGCAAGGACCGGTCGTAAGTCACTTTTTCCAACACCGTCATAACTTTGAGCAGTCATTAAACGAATGGTTGTAAGTCGAGAACTACCTGTAGTTAGCAAGGCAGTGGTGATGCATTCCCTTTCCTGTTGTATGAATAGTCATGCATCTGCTTGGATTTTTTTTTAAATTGCAACATTGGGAGAAAATACTATGCTCTAGTGCCAAAAAAGAAGGCTGTCTCAAAAACCCTCATTCCAAAGCAAGGTAATATTTTATAATTTAAATGTATTGTATTTGCCTTTACTATTTTCTGTGATGAAGTTTATGTGGAATGTTTTGAAAAGGTAACTAATCCTTCAGTCTTGTACTTGGCAACTGTGCAGTTTGCCTGGCCCATTCTGAGGGGACAGAACTGAGGCCACGTCCTTCCCAACTGCCTAGAGGGCAGTATCTTTTCCAAATGATACAGATTGACTTTACTGACATGCCTCCGTGTAAACAAAAGAAGCACCTGTTGATTGTAATATGCACCTTCAGTAACTATGTAAAAGCAATTGGTTGGGGATGGGTAAATATACTCCCCATGGCACTGTTGGCATCAGAAGCTCATCTCTAAAGGAACTGAAACTGTCTCCCTATGAAATTGTATATGGGTGACCAATGCCTCTGGGCCTTTAAAAACTTGTCTTTTTCACCCAAAGATATATTTTTCTCACAGCTTCTTGGAAACTCAAAGAGGACAGAGAGCTTTCCTGTACATTCCTAGGCTAAAGATTAAAAAGGGATAGTGATTCCACTCCCTCTGTTATTCCAGTCACTCACTTAATTCCATGCAATTTTGATTATATACATGTTAAGCAACTGGTTAAAATAAAGGGTGTAATAATATATACATCAGAAATACAATATGTACTATAATATTTCTATACATATAATTAAATATGACAGCTAAACAAATAGATGTGGAAGTGCTTATGTATAGGGTACAACAAATAAATTAATTTCAGTGGCAGTCTGGTCTTGGAGCAGCTGCTACCATGCAAATGCCTGAACTTAAGTAGTCTATTGAGACCAGATTGTGGATGCCAGCTGGACTTCCCTTTGGAGAAGTTCCACAGTCCCCATACTGAGAACCAGACCTAGCGATGGGACTACAAGGTGATCTAAATATGTGGGCTGCAGTAGTAACTTTAAGTACTTGGGTCCTAAGCTATCTATGCCTTTAAAGAATGACATATTAAATTGGCTGCTCCTTCTAAATGTAACAGCTGCATTCTGTACTAAATATATTTCTGGATTATCTTCAAGGGCCTAGCAGTAAGCAAACAATAAGGATAATCAATATAAAGGATAAAATATACAGTCTCAGTATACAATAAGGATTTTTTAAAAAGAAATTACTACAGGAAAGTTGAACAGTTTAATTCATATTTGCACATTCTCTCATAATCTGAAAATGTAATATGTTCTGACTATAATGAACCTAGATGTAACCTTAAAACAAACATTTATTGTCGTTTTTCATGATTTTTGTTATTCATATATATATCAGTTTAATGTGACCAGAGATTTTTAAAATCAGTACAATATTGCCTTTAAACAAACCAGCTAAGGATGAAATAGCAACAAGTTACTCTGCCATATAATATGACTCTTAGTTTAACGTTACATGTACATTTGGCTGATGTAATTAATTCATAACTCTCAGGATGAAGCCAAATGCAACTATTTCTTTTCTCTTCAACCCCACCCATTCAGCCATTGCCACCTATCAAATAATAATACAACTAGGAATTTCTAGATTTGAACCTAAAATTGTAATTTTGGAAGCCAGGTCAACAAACCTTTAACCTTAGAATCACAATAGCCATTCTTTAGAAACAGCTAATTCATTGGCTTTGTCTTGCAACTTTATGAGATCCAGGCTGACAAATTTTGCAGTCAGCTTCCCCATATGTAACAGTTTTACCAGACATAACATGATTCCGTATTTGTGAAACTTATTCCCTGAGCCTCTCAAACAGTTGATCAGTAAATACGATACCAATCTTGTGAGCAGTTGGAACCATATAATATTATGAAAAAGTATCCATATTGACTTCAAAAATGTTTGAACTTAAATACCTCCAAATAAATGTTAGTTAGAATTCAGATACCATTTGACACAATATAGCAAAAGAATAATCATAGTAATTATCATAATAATAATATGCCAGGCATATCAGCCGATCCCCTTGAAACAATTCTCAAATTGAGATAACTTTCTATCAAAATGGGGAAAAATTTTTTTAAACTTAAGCTGTTATTACTACAGTATTATCCTCATCATTATCTCTCCTGCCATTCTACTTAGGAATTTAAGACAAGAGACCCACAGCATAAAGCTAACAACAAAAGCCACCAGAAAAGAGTTTATTCTTAAGCAAGGGCCCCGCCTCATTTTAAAACTCAACCATATCAAGCTTTTACATATGTCCCAGCTTTCTGGGCAAATGGTCCTCTCAATGCAACATCATATAAAGTCAAGCAAGTGCAAGTATTACAATGGGCAGCCTCAAAAGAGCTTTAACATATTGTAGGAGTGTCTGAATAACGTTTAAAACTTTTTGTCCACCATTCCGAAAGAATATTCTGCCCTTTTTTGCTTGAAAATAAACCCCACTTCAAATGTTAATTAAGTGCAGCTGCAATTTTCAGCCACAATGTTGTGTATACCTGTTCCAAAATTATCCTTAAGCAAGTATAGGGAGGACTGCGGGATTAGTACCTCGAAAGGTCCCACCCAACCAGAAAATTTCTAACAGCTCCGCCCGCTTGACTGGCAAGCAGCGGCGAGGAGAGGTCCGGAGCGGGAAGCAGGAGGCACCGACACCCGCCGGCGCGAGGCAAGCACCGTCTTCTGGCCACCGCGAGATCCCCGCTTTGGCGCTCGCCTCACAACACCTGCGCTCCGGCACCTCTTCCCAACAATTCTGCCGTTACGATGGCACCCTCCGGCCAGGAAGAGCAGCGACACCCATAGAACTGAACCTACTCGGCCACCATCCCGACCACTCATGTCACCTTTGAACCTTCGGCACGTCAAGAGTTCCACGCCTTCTCCTCGGCGATTGGCTACTTCCTTTGATACTTTACGTGTTATGAAAAAACACACTCCCCCGCCGAAGGGGTGTGTGCGTATGGAATCAGGTATATCCGGAGAGACCACACCCCCTCTCGCTTTATGACGTGGCTTTATTTCCTTTTAAGAGAGTTTTCGGAGGAAGAGCCTGTTATCCCGCCCGCGTGCGCTGATACGCCCGACTTTTTTTAGTCATTATCTGGAGGAATTTCCTAGCCAATTGCTTTGGGGCTACGCTACCACCTCCTCCAGCAAATTCTAATTGGGTTTCCACGGTGTTGCTGTTCTTGTGAATTAGATTGTTTCGATTTCTTTTAATGCGGCTTTCTCAGTCTGATTCTTTCCTCATAGGTACGCGACTGAAGGCTCCAGGTGGAAACGCTGAATTAACAGTACAATACTCAAGAGCTTGATGCAAGACCCATCTATGCGATATTTAGCCGAAGTAAACAAGGAGTGGGGATACTACGGCCGCCACTTCTGTACTGCAAAAATCGGTACGACCATTAAATGGAAGCAAAGAATTAGCTTTCCCCGCCTTTTTGCTGCACTCTACTGGTGGTTCTGATTTTTGCAGCCCAGGTATGGTATTTTTGCTGATTTTTGAAACATTACTGTATTCATTTTAGTGCTATAACATATAAAGATGGAAAGAAAAATAGAAAAAAGGAAAACCAATATTAACAAATGAAAAGAGACAAATACAGAAACATATTGTTATAACAACTCAGTTTTTATATAAACCTGGACCCTATGGAATGATATTAATCTATCTTTCCATTATATCAATACTGTGACAGTCTGAAATAATACAGCAAACACATGTCAGTCTAGAATTATAAATATGGAATGGTACCATCTGTCCATTGTAGCAAATAAATATTTTTACTATGCCCATGCTTGATTAATCCATAGTTCTTAAATTGATACAGTCCAAGTTTTTTTATATATAGTTCCAAATTACATTTTAATGAACTCATCTTTCAGCCTATTCTGTGGCAATAAGAATGGCAAAGAATTCGGTTTTTCCTGCTTACTGCACCTGTGGATTCCTGCCCTGTACCTTTGTTCAAAATGACCCAGATCCTTTTTATGGAAGGACAAGTGGGGCAAGATGCCTACTGGCTAAACAGATCATTTTGCAGCTTTCCTTGTAGATAAAGTTCCTTCTGTCTGCTTTGGTTTAGAAACCAATTGGCCAGAATCAAGTGAGGTGAGCTAGGAGATACTCTGCACGTCCACCTGTTTTGTTTTGTTTTGTTTAGTTTGTAGAACCTGAGGAAATGGACAGAGTCCATGAACCTGCCACCTGTGGGTTGGACCCATGCTGCTCCTGGCTCCTGTGGGTGAGGCATACCAATAGGTGGTAAATGAATCCTTGATAAGGGAAAATGCTATGTCAGCAGCCTTGAAAGAGGCAGTAGTGCAACCTCTCCTGTGAAGAGGCCATCTCTCAACTGGTTGTATTTGACAAATTTACCCTGTCTTCAACTGTCCCCTTTTGGGCAATGCTGCAAAGGTGCTAGTGTCTCAACCACAGAGGATCCTAGAGAAAATGAATTATCTGGATCTCTCCCAGTTAGTGTTCATATGTGATTATGGGGCAGTAGATTACCTTTGGACCCTCTGAGTCTTTGTTGACTTCTTGGTTACCGTTAACCATGGTATCTTTTGAATAGCCTGCATGGTTTGGGAGTGGGAAGTATCATCTTGTGATGATTCTGCTCTTTTCTGAGCAGGTGGTTCCAGTCAGTAACTATAGGGGATGAGCCATCAAATCCTTAGCTGCTCCAGTGTGGGGTGCCATAGGGTTTAGTCCTCTCCCACATTATTTAATATCTGTATGAAGCTCCTGGGAGAGGTCATATATTGGTCTGGGGTGACATGTCATCAGCTGGAGAGGCTAAAGACATCGTGAATCAGCATCTGGAAGTTGTGAGGGTCTGGATGGGGAGAAACAAGCTCAGACTAGCAGGACTGAGCTGCTGGATGTCCATAATCATCAAGGCTATCCAATAACATCAGCCTTAGCTCTTGACAGGGTTCCACTTGAAGGAACTGGTCTGTGACAGAGGTCCTGGAATTATGCTGTAAGTATGAGTAGCTGAAAATTATCAGAAATCTAGATCACTGAAATCATTTTGGGCAAATAAGTTGTATAATCCAAAATTCACAGGGATGATCTTTCCGGTGTTTCTGTCCCAATGCAAAATTTCAGTGTTATGTCAAGAAGCCTAAGGTCTGTGCAGGAAAAATAACATGCATAATATATATATGAATTATATCAATCTAAATTTATGTACTTTGTAAAAGCAAGCTCATTCCACTTTACAAGCTCTGCACTGCAGTTGAGATTTGTCATTGGATTTGAACTTGGGTTTGTCTTCAAAGAAGGAGTGGTGAGCAGCAAAAGCAAATGAATGAAAATTAAGATCAGTCGGAAAATATAAATTGAGGAATGTTACTTAACCTCTTTTCCCCAGTGGAACACTCTCCCGAGGTGTGGACTTCAACTCCCGGACTTACTAGCAAGCACGGCGCTTGCTGAGGCTGAGGAGTACTGATTTAATGGGAAGAAGTTTTGTCACTGGAATTCTGCAGATTAGACAATGATTTGCCTAAACTTTGCAATTCTTAGCAAGAAAACTATTATTACACTTAAGCTATGCTAAGGTAAGGTTCAAATCCTCTGCAGAAAGTTTAAACTTCTGTGTTTTCAGAACAAAAAAATGGCCTATTCAAACTGTATCTTTCTCTTAGGGAACATTCAGACAGCAGGTTTGATGTGTTTTTCTTCAGTTTGTGAGATGGTACAAAAGTATGCCAACATATTTTTGTTTATCTGCACAAGCTTGCTAACATGACTAAAGAGCAGTAGTATCCTAAATATTTACTGTGGAGCAACTTAAGATGCAGTGATTGATGGATTTCCTTGCTGGCAGGACCAGTCGGTCCCTCCAGTGTGGACTGGAGCAAAGCTGGGAGGCAGATGGGTAGGGTAGCGAGTTCCATCATTTGTCAGAAGCACTGATCTAGTGGTCTTAGTGCCACTTGCTTGTAAGACCTGTGTAGAAAAGCAATGCCCTGAAAAGCAGGTTGCTTTGCAAAGATCCTGGTTATATCTTCTGGAGATCATGGTACTACTTTAAGCAATAATAGGTACACCACAACCTTTTAAGTGGTAGACTGGCACCTCTCTTAAATGACCTGCCTGTCAGACCTGTACACCAATAAATGGGTAAACAAACAGGTTGTAGAGCATCATTAGAAAGTGGTTGCTTATGCAAGATCACAGTTCTACTTAGCATGGTTGGCAGAGTTGACAGTATACTTGGGGAGGGAAGGCTGAGGCAGCACGCATGTGCTATCAGCATGCGCAGGGAAGTGGGGCTTAGGGGTCAAGCAGCTCTTGCCAGCTGATTGCTGGTGCATGTTGGGGCACATGGCTGAGATAGCAGATTCTGGCCCATGAATGGGGACTTCTGTGGAACACTGATACTTTATAGATCACACTTTTACAATCACTGCTCTAGGTAATGAATAGATTTATTTAAAATGGCAGGACATTATAGGATGATTAAAAATTGTATAGCAATAATAAAGAAGCAGCTGATTATGACTAATAGCACCTAATTGACCTTGATAGTTTTTTTTTTTAAAAAAGGCTAAGTAGAGTCAGATCGAGTTAGTTCTTATTTATTTATTTTGTTCCTTTGAGTCAGTGCTGACTCCTGGTGAGTGCCTGGACAAGTCCCTGCAGTTTTCTTGGCAAGATTTCAGAAGTGGTTTGCCCTTGCCTGCAACCTAGGGCTGAGAGAAAGTGACTGGCCCAAGGTCACCCAACTGGCTTCGTGCCTAAGGCGGGACTAGAACTCTCAGTCTCCCAGCTTCTAGCCTGATGCCTTAACCACTACACCCAACTGGCACTCAGTTAGTACTTGGTCACCAGGAACTCCCAGATCTATAGGCTAGATTGGGAAATCAAAAAGATATCCCAAAGGAAAGCAATGGCAAACAACTTACATATTGTTTCCAAGCAAACTTAATTCATGTAGTCAACAGGAGTCAAAGGAGCCCCTTCTAAATGAAGTCTAATCAACAGTTATTTGGCCGTGCCGCAAAGGTTTCAAACAATTATTTTCTTTAAGGCTTCAGAAGAGGAAAAAAGTTAAATTCCATCTTGACTCCTACTAGGATCTTAGCAATTACCAACAGTACAAGCTGACACAATTTACATTATTAAAAAGCTCTGTGTGCTAAATTAAAGCCACATTTTACATCTCAAAAAATGATTGTTCACTTTCTACCCTCTTAGGCCTGAGACAAGGCTCTGACTTTAGGAGGAGGAAATCAACAAAATTTGTGTAATCTGTGACTATGGTTCCATAGATGTTTGTTTCCATCACCACCATGCAAAGATTATTGTTGTGGGGTTCTTCAGAGCTTCCTTTATGCTATGTGACAGTTCTTCAAAGAATGGGTTATTTAGGACTGAATGTAGAAGATTGCCATTAAAACAAATGCAATATGCCTTCTAGATGGAACGTTTCACATTTCACAACTCCTTTAAGCAAATGAAGCCCCGCATTTCCCTCTCAAAACAATTGTGAACTTACATTTGTGAATTTAAATTCCCATAAATATAAATTCTGACACACATATTTACTGGCTAAATTTACATGACACGTTAAACCCAAGTAAACAAAATGTCATTATTGTGTTCATTCTGAGACTCAGACCCAGAGTCTTAGGGACAAAGACTGCAAAGATGATGTCTGACAGATCAGGCACAGCCAAAAGAGAAAAGGAAATTGGAGGTCTAGGAAATCTTTCTGGGGTGGAATAAGACCCAGGTGTTAGGAGGCAGAGCAAATAGCAAAGGAAACCATTCTTGGCTCCTTGCCTGGCGACTCTACTTCTTCCCTCTAAAAGAGTAAGTTACACCAACCGCCTGAAAATCCAGACCATGTTTAGTACTCAACAATCCTATCTGGAAAGTGAGAAGAGGAAAACTAAGGACTTCCTTTGACCACTGATCCAGAATTGTGGTAAAGCCGCTGCTAATTAGGGACTAGCAGTAAACAGGAGGTGTGCTTCCGATATGGGTCGCGAAGTCACCTTTACCGTATCTCCACTTTTCGCTGCTTCCTTCAGCCCCGACGTTACCGCGTGTTGCAAATGTTGCCAATTATTTTTCGTAGGAATGCCGGGCCAATTTCCGAATGGTCCCTCGTCGCTTTCACACCTTTGAATCACGAAGGAGTTTTGCACCGCTGTCCGGAGGTTGAAGAAACTCGGGCTTCCCTTCCCAGTGTGTACGCGGGAAATGGAAAGCTTGCTCATGCTCGGGGAGGGGAGGGGAGGGGAGGGGAG